GCAAGGACATGCTCCCGGAGAGGAAAATCCCAGTGCCTTTGGTCTACATTTAATCGCTGGTCATTTGTAAAGTCCATTCATCACACGCTTCCCGACAAAGACCACTGATGGACCTGTGTGGTTTCTCGCATTCAGAGCCTCTTCTAGTGTTTCATCATTTATCACAGCTTAAAAGCTTATAGTTATGTGAAAAATGTGAATAAACGTTGTATTTATAGTGTAGCAGATGGTTATTTAAATGTTATTTAATTGACCGTGAAGATAGCTCGCCTTTTATTTAGGAATTAAATTGTCAGAGTCAGAGTTGTTGACCAGCAGCTCAGATCTAATCTCTTAATAGCTTGTGTGTGTATGACTGTGTGAGAGATGGAGTACTGCAAACTAGATATTTGTATGTCAATCTCTATGTTATAATTGCAAGAAAAATAAGGATTTGAGTCCTACTTGGACATAACACATCTCTATCCAGTTGTTATTAAACACATTGGATTTGAAGTTATGTGGGGTGGAAAAGTAAGTATATAGCGCTTTTCTACTCTCCCGGAGTATTCAAAGCACTCTACATAACATGCCACATTCACCCAATCACACCCATTCTCACAAGCACTTTCTCTAGACACAGTGTTTTCTAAGTACATTCACACACATCCACTCCGAAGGATACTTGACATGCAGACTGGAGGAGCCAGGGATCGAACCACCAACCTTCTGATCAAAACTTTTATTTATCTATTTTTTTACCATCATAACAGAAAAGAGAAATCTATGACAATTCACCCCAACAAAATTGTTTCATCAGTATTTATTGGATATCTTGAGGGCCCTCTTCGGGTTGTTGCGTCACAGCTGGGTACAGTCAGGACTCTAGCTGTTCAAAAACATTTATTGCAGGCTCGGCCAAATCAAGGCTTCAAGGGCCGGTGTCCTGCGGGTTTTAGATCTCACGCTAGGTCAGCACACCTGAGTCAAATGATTAGTTCATTATCAGGCCTCTGGAGAACTTCTAGACATGTTGAGGAGCTAATTTAGCCATTTAAACCAGCTGTGTTGAATCAAGGGCACATCTAAAACCTGCAGGACACCGGCCCTCGAGGCCTGGAGTTCCCCCACCCCTGTTATTGGTTTGTTTATGTGCTTTTTGTCTTGTAGCATTAGCTTCTCCAATCAATGGAAAGAGTAAACTTTGTCAGCCATCAGAGTTTGTTTATTTGAATAAAGGCTCGAGTTTGTCAGTCATTGAGACTTTTCCTGCCAATTTTGGTTCTTCTGGGTAGAGTCAAGGAATTTACCCACTTGGGGACCATTGCTACTATTCTCTGATGCTTCTCTGTCAGGGTGGTGAATAATTCAGAGCTTCCCAAGGCTTGTTTGGC